TTTCTCAAAGCCCAAGTTGACGTCTTCCATTGATGTCTGTTTTTTTTCTGACCAACAGTTCAACATTTAGAGATGTTTAATTTGCAATCATCGAGGACTTGGAAAACCAGCAAATAATTATATTTAAGCAATTTTTTTTGGCCATTTTTTATTAATTTTTTTTAATTTCATTGATTAATTTGAATAGTTTTTGTTCCAATAACAGTTAAATAGGAAGTTCATTTAGAAACATACACACTATCACTAAGGCAGCAAAAATTTGAAGAAGAAACAATGTGAAAGTGAGATTCTTGCTACAGGGCAACAAAAAAGGTCCACCTCTTTCTCTAAAATAAGTGTTAGCAATTGTTGCTATTCCACTAACAGGTTAACTTTAATTTCCATTTAGATTAACAGAAACAAATACGCAAACACGGATCATGAATGGCAGATTATTGAGAATTATGATGTGCTTACATGGGTGCGGGACAGCGATAGAGAGATAGAGTCTAGGACAGTGAAAAACAGAGGGAGCGTGTCAGAGGGATGTGTGTATTCCTATGGGGGATTGTGTGCGTGTGTTTGTGTGTGTGGGTGTGTGAGCATGTGTGTTTGAGAGCAACACAAAGAGAAACAGTTGAAGATCTGATGCAAAGTTCAGACACATGCACACATGCATGTATGCATGCACACACACACACATCGCAGGCAGAAGTGTGGTAATGACATGGAAATTATATGGTAATGATATGGTAATCTAGCAACATTATTCTGCCCACCAGAGACTAGGAGGGAGAAGAACCTGCCACAAAGACACACACACACACACACACACACACACACACACACACACACAAGCATGCGTATAAGCAAGTGTACACACCAACGCGCAGGGATAAGATGAAATCTATGGACTGACATGGGTGAAGAGGGTAAGACCAATGTGGGGGAAGGGGTGTGCCGTTGTCAAAATGATGATAGTGAGAGAAAACGTCTTTAGTTGATTATACACCATTTTAGCAGTAAATTATTATCTATCGCAAAATGCACCACTTTTCAAAACTTTCAAAGGAAAATCAGTGCTGTACTTTGAGGGGAAAAAATCTACATAATAAGAGTTTGACAAAAAAAAAAAAAATCTTAAATTTGCAATTTCCGAGATTGGGAGCATATTGATTAACTCTCAACGGCTCTCAACATGTCGACAGTGAGCCGGCGACTCACAGCTAACTGTGCTAATTCCGCTAACATTGAAAACTATGGCGAAAGTGCTGACGAACTGTGTTTACCCGAGGGGGAACTGGAGGGATGGGTGCTGGGCTTCTGCAACAACGCTGTTGGGATATAGAGCATATATATTTACAAATAAACATATATAGAAGGAGAAGTCGACAAGAAAATAGAAACAGACTTACAGTATCAAATGGAGAAGTTGACCATAAAGCAGTGGACTATTAATAGACCTTTTATTACAATGGCTGCAACTTTCTACACTGAATACAACACTGCCACCCTCTGGACAAACCTCTACACTGTAATCTGGATGGTGGCTAAAAGGAAGTGTTGCTTAGGAATTTAGATCCGGTGAGTTTAGCCATATATTATATATAAACTGTCTATTAAAAAAAGATTACATTATGGAAAAATACCACTATGCACCTCATGAATAAGACATCACTTTAACCTAATATATGTATTGTTCAGGTGAGTCCTGAGTTTTTTGTGACCATAATGTACTTTATGGAATATTGTCACAAGATTATAGTTTTGTTGTGGTCATATATTTTTCAAATCTACTGAATTACAATAGTTAAATTACATATAAACATTTCCAAAAATCTAACAAAATTGATGATTTAGGTTGTGATAGAGAAGTGAAGTAAGTACAACAGATTGTAAACAAACTTGAGCATTAGTTAATTCTTGACATTGGAAACCATTGTCAATAGTGCGCATATACAAGTTTTTTATCTGAGCTTTCAACTACATCTTGCTGTCTTCTTCAGTAGATGGTGGTGGCTCAGTTGTTATTATATCAGACTTCTAACTGTGTACATAGTTTACTGAGCAAACACCTTTTAATGAAGAAGACAACAAGATGCTCTGGAAAAACAGCTGGTGAGCGGACCTTGAGTGAGGATGGGAAAACAAAGCTGCTTCCAAAGATAAACTTCTGCTAAAAAGGTTTTAACACCAACATCACCATTCCTTCCCTTCATATATTTCTCTCTCCGGTTGTCAGTGTTTCCCTAGCTGCTCCCCTTTAAGTGGCGGTGATTGACAGGTGGGCTATATCCATGCAATATCACCCAGCGCACGTTCCTATTCCCTCCTGAAGCCTTCATCCACCGGTCAAATTAACCTTCCGTGCCAACGGGAGGGGGCCCTGCGTGGGCCAATCAGCAGGTGATTAGGCCGGGGGTGGGAGGGGTGAGGGGTCACCGCGATGGGGCCATCGCAAGCCTGATTGGTTTCAATCAGCAGCCAGCCGCAAGGACAGCTGGGAGCTGAGCCGCAGTGAGCGCTAATCAACGCGTCCCACAGTGAGGCATGAACAGTCACTACACACACACGTCACACGTACACACAAGTAGATTGATGTTGGTGTATACACACTGACAACACGGACATCACTGTGTGCACACATTCACACAGGGACAAGAAACACACACCAATACACACAGCAAGACATGGGAAGCAGAAATGAACAGTCAAGACCACAACAGATAAACAGAAAATCCCATAATGGAAAACCAGAGAAGGGAGAGGCAGAGAGACAAACTCAGAGCAACCCCAGAATCTCACAGTAAATTGAATGACTAATTGCATTGGATTTGTTAATTTGACCACTGGCACATCTGATAGGGGCCTGTGACATTGGTTAGCAATGCTCTGTCCTACAAACCACAACAACACCCCTTCTATGATGTCTTCAATGTGGAACAATTCAGATTGTCTCCGCTATGTCTGATGTTATGCTAATTCTTGTTCAAATCGCAGTAAAGCACAGCATTGATCAGATGAGATAGGAGAAGTCACAAAGAGCATAGTATAGCTCCTCCTCGGTGGGTTAAAAGTGGAGAAGACAGACTGATCTGCTGTGGTTTCTATTTATGACGGTGAGTGTTACTGACTTCTTTGGGTGGGATCACTGAGAGGAATGTCTGCAGAGCTACAGGAGGAGTGGGTGTGTATACTGCATTAGCATTATAGCAATAACTTTGGTGATTTATGTTTGACGTTTTATGTTTGGCCTTCCACAACATGCCACAGACTTTCCTTTTCTTCTCACACAAAACTCACCTGATGAAAACTGACTACTTCCTTCAATATTCAGAATAAGGGGAAGAGAAACATTGTTGAATTGGTTGTCCAGCTGCACCATGAGTCATTATCAGTTTCACTTCTTTACAAAAGATGCCAAACAAAGAGTGTTCTTTTGAACAGATCATCAGTCGAAATATTTCAATCTTCCCGCCTTCAGAAGGTGAAGATTACAAGAGAAAAATACCAATTTCACAGAGTCTGCAATGTATTACTCATCTAATTGTTCATGAGATTTGAAGATTTGCTTTGACTTCAAGAGTTTTTCTTTTCAAGACTCATATTAACTAATGTTTGTGGAAAATGAGCTGAACCCCAAGAGAGACACACTTTATTCTCAAATATCAAATGCATTTAAATATAAAACAAAATGCTAATGAAATTATCACAGAGCATTACTGTTAACAGGAGGTATTGTACATCAGGAACAATGTAATAATTCTCCAAAATATAGCACCAGTAAGTACGAATTTGCTTTCCCGCTGAGAGTTAGATGAAAGGATTGATGTGACTCTCGTGTTTGTACGGTAATATAAAGCTACAGCACAAAGTCTGTCAGCTCAGCTTAGCATAAAGACTACAAACAGGGGAAAACAGACGCATCGGTTGGGTGTCACTTGGGGTAGTGGATGTGTAAAGCAACACGTTGGCTTTCTTCTTGTTACTGTAATATTAGGCTAGTCCTGTGGCTGCATGAGAATGATTCAGCAGAAGGTTAGACACATTAAACAAAATGTTTTAATTAGCCAGCTCTGCTGTAGTTTAGCGATGCAAATCATGTCCATTATGAGGAAGGAGAATTGTGGTGACAATTTAGTGCAACCATGCTTGATGACAGCAGTATGATACAAGTCCAGCATCTCGTCCAATTTAAACTGGGCAAGAAGAAAAAGCAAGGTGTAGGGCTTTACTAAAGGATGTAAAGACGCCTGCTTTGCCACTTATTTTCAATGATTGTGTTGACTGCAAATAAACGTATTTACTTGTCTCCGTTTGGCTCATTTCCTACATGTTCTTGCTCAGACAAAACACACAGAAATCCAACTTCAGAGGGTATTCTATAAAGCAAAACTGAAACTCCTACAGGAATTGGGTGGAATCTCCTTGTTTTTTTTCTCATTTACCTCATGTAAATATATTAGTTTTATTAATTTCAAGTTAGACTACTTTAGAACTTGACTTGAATGAATGTACTGCTGAGATTTCACTGAACTCATTAATTCAAGTTTTAAAAGACTTCCCAGCATGCATTGTTTGAGAGTTGACAATCTCCAGAAACCCTTCTTGTTTTATGGTTTGAACAAAACATTTATGATGGGAACTTGTAGTGTTTTTTGACTATATGCTAACATACAATTTATGTTCGCAATAATGATACAATGCTAATCATAATGATTATTATTGAACTCTCCTTTACTTTTTGTTTTTGTGCATCATACGTACAATTATAAATAAAATATTTTTTATTGCTTGTGGTATTTACCTATTTAGTAAAATATCTCAATGCTTCATTGCGCTGAAAATAGTGCCATTGAATCACATAGAGGCCGAGCCATTCGTCATTGTTTTCTCCCTGTTATTCAGTGGAAACTCTTACAACTAACTCATATAGCGTTAAGAAGTACACAGGAGAAACAGAGGGAGGTCCTTGCTGTTTCTGTCTGGAGTGGCTCGAGACAGCTGTTTGCTCTGCTGCGTCTGCGCATATGCGGAACATAAAGGAGAAGGGAGCGGAGACCATCATATTTCTCGTATTTACTGTTGAAAGAAGTTTCCCTCGCACAGGAATACAAAAAACAAGCATACAGGTAGGACAGACTACATGACACACACACGCGTAGGCAACGTGGAAACACGAATCGTGCCATTTTCGGACAATATAGGCAGTTGTGGTAGCGGATGTTGTCATAGCCCGTTGGTAAACTTTTGCTTACCTCATTATAGCATTAGCAATCTTTGCGTCTAACCTCTGCACTCTTTAGCTTCCACGTAACTGTTGCTTTAAAAACCTAAAAACCTGTAAAGAATACACGTATGTTTCACCTTAAGCTGGTGAATCTATCATAACAGCAACCGCATGTCACAGTGTGTGTTCAGTCACATTGTCTGAATAAGTAAACAGCTGCGTCAAAATAAGAGGTTTCACTTCGTACTAAGGGGAGAATAATTGTCCCCTGTCAAACTAAGAGCAGACAGATGGCATTAGTTGTGCTTTTAGTTACGCGTCAGTTTTAATGTCAGGGTGGTTTAATTGAAACAATGTTTCAATTGCGCCCGCGTGACTCAAGGAACGTGGTTCATCTACTTTATGGAAGGTGGGTGGGGCGCGAGCAGCCTTGTTAATAACTTGTGACGACTGGGATTTGATATGGACTCCAGTACTGACACTACACAGACACTGACGGTTGTTTTTATCTTCGCTGCCGGGGCCAAGTCATGGCTCAGCGTGACAAAATCCCCGAATTGCGAGTTCAAACAGAAAAATTCAAAACCATAGTCGTAACTATGATGGTACACATGTCTTTCAGAATATACACAAGTGGTGTTAAACTAACCAAACAGTAGTGTAATGTAGACTACACTTACTCAAATACTGTGCTTAAGTACATGTTTCACTACTTCTTTATTGATGTTCGTATGTGCTGCTCTATTTCAATTCATGTGTGAATATTGCACTTTTTCCTCCTCCACATTTACTTTGAAGAATTACACTCAACATACAAAACAGGTGGTCAGTTTGTAAAATATATAATGTATTGTTGTAGAATAAACTACCCAACAACATGTAAAGTAATACAGCTGCACCATCTACAAAAAGCTGCACACAGGATATTCATCTGTAAAAATAATCCAAGGACATTAAATATGATCAAATAAAACCAGAGAGGATCCCTTCGGCTGTATAATTAAGGGGAAGATGAATAGCATGCCAGAGCTAAGTTAAGGTAAACAATTTTTTTGTACTGGTGTTGTACTGATTGGACGAAACAAGCAATTTGAAGACGTCAGCTGGGCTCTTGGAAACCGTGACCTACATTTTTCAGACATTTTGTCAACAACAATTAATCAAAAGAAAATAATGAAAGGATTTGTTACTTGCAGCACTAATATTTTCCTTATCGCTGTGGGAGCAGCTTTGACTCTGGGAGGTTGCTTCTCAATATATACTACTGTCAATCTCTGCAGACAAACTGCTGGTTCCCCTCCGGTGATGTCTTCCCCATGGTTGGACCAGTGGCCCCTAGAGGCCATAAATGGTACCACTCCCTCTGGGTTCGCAAACAACAAGAGCTGCCTCAACGGAAAGAGGGGTGTATTCAATGAAGTCCGCTTCGGAGGAGTGCCTATTGTGCTACTGCTCGATTTCTGTGTCTTTTTGGTATGTCTAAAAATGTACGGTGTCTGCCTGCCTGTGATGTGGTGTGATCAAGTGAGAGAAGACTGGAAGTCTTTATGTAATATCCCTTTAGGCAAGAGACAATCCCTGCCAAAATGCTTCATATTTTCTCTATAAAGAAAGTTTTCTCCATTTTGCAATATAAAGAAATTTTTTTTACTAACCACTGCTTTATTTGTGTCAAGGCATATTTAGGTTATTTTGTGTGCATGAGGTGAAAGCTGATTGGTTCTTCTCCCGGTGCCACCTACAGGTGCTGCTGAGTATCTTCTCTATTATCAGGAGGAAGTTCTGGGACTATGGGCGTCTGGCGTTAGTGGCCGACAAGGACGGGTCAGTTCCTGATCTCGCACGCATTTGTCATAGGACAGATTTCAGATGTGAAGTTCAGATGAATCTTTTTCCTTGACTCTGTACTTGTGTGTGTCAGGTTCACCGATTCAACACACCGCCGCTATGGTCACATGTCATCCAGCGGGGATGACTTTGACAATGAATTGGTAGGTAAAAGAAAATCTTTGTCATCAGTTTCAGCACCAAAATCACCACAAGGCATACAGTCGCATCAGGTCTTTTCACTTTGTCAACACTTCATTTTTAAGATATCAAAGCACTTTTGTAATACTTTCAAACCAGTCTTGAATCATGAAGAACTTACCAAATAATCCTTATTACTATAATCCTCGTTGTTGGTTGATGTAATCACAATACCTCCCTTTCTGTTCAGGGATTCTGCTCTTGGCTGCCTTACATCATCAGAATGGAGTGAGTGAACTGTGCTGGTCATTGTTTCTGTACTTGTGCCTCAACCAGAGCTATTTTATCACGATGTGTATACCAGCTCCCTTCTTATCTGTGTGCGTGTGCGTGTGCGTGCGTGCGTTTTAGTGAGGAGAAGATTAAAGCCAGATGTGGCATGGATGCTGTTCACTACCTGTCGTTCCAGCGCCATCTGATCATCCTGCTGTTGATCATAGCTGTCGCCTCCGTCACAATCATACTGCCTGTCAACTTGACTGGACACCTGCTGGGTGCGTTTTGCACGATTCTCTGTCTGTTGGTGAAAATTGTAGTTAGCTTACATATTTTAAAGGCTTTTTTTTATGGACAGAATGCGTCAGGTGTGTGTTTTTTGATGGTTCTAAATATGAATCAAGCAATCAAGAGCTGTCCCTAAAGTGTGTGTATTTTTTTTTTTTTTAATTGGGGATTTTGAGCACATTTTTTGGTGAAATCCAGGATATGGCTGCTTGTATTCTGATCTTTTTCTTCTCTCTTCTTATTAACATTTATACTTACAGTATTTTTTTTTTCCTCTCTCTTCCAGGTGATGATCCAGAGAGTTTTGGAAGGACAACTGTTGGGAATCTTCAAAAGGGGTAACTACTGTATGACGAAAACAGTTTGGATACATAAACAAAAGTGTTGTGGGTTGGTCATGACAAAATGCTCCTTTGGTGTCTGTCATCTTTTGCCTCTAGAAACGACCTGTTGTGGCTGCATACAGTATTTGCAGTTCTGTACCTGATCCTGACGGTTGTTCTGCTGCGACATCACACGTCACAAATGAAAGACATGCGCAGAGAGACGGTGAGTCTCTGACTTCTAGACTACAAGATGTTTGGTCTGAATGTCTCTCACAAACCTATACATTTCAGCTGTGTCCACGTTACTTGTTTTACTCTCTCTATCTATATTTCACCCGTATGATGAAAGTCAGATTAGTGTTTAATTATGTTCAGTATATGCTGAGTGTCGCTTAGCTGCGATGGTAACTGCCAGTCTGTCTTTCTGTTTGTAGACCAGAAACACGTTGTTTGTGTGTTTGGTCCCCAAAGCGGCAACAGACGAAAACTTAAAGACTCATTTCATGTGAGTAGTATTGAATTGAATGAAGCTGAACTTTCCTCTCGACGCGGTGTCCTTGCATGTTCCCATGAATAGGAGCCATCTGCTCTGTTCGTCACTGTCAGCACTGTGTTTGTGTAGAGAGGCGTACCCTACCTGTCGCGTGTGTGCTGTGACCTTGGGCTATGACGTGGCCAAGCTCATGTACCTTGATAAGGAAAGGTAAGACATCAGAACAATAAGCAACAAAATACATATTTTTCATTTTAACTGTGTATCTAAGTTCTGTGTGCAGTGACACACTCATAGAGAGAATTTACACCCTAACTCAGCAGCTCTACTGAGCTTTTTAGCATCTTTTAGCTCATTATTTTACTTTTATGCAACCACACATTACTTTCTCTTTAATATTTAATATTTCAGGTTTTAAACGCAGAGGAAATAGTTGCAAGCAGCAGCATGTGAAGCATATTCCAGGCATAGAGCTGTGTTTAAAATGTTGAGGGATATTTACTCAAGCTTGATACATATTTATTTATTATATGCCTTTGTTTGTCTGTTAATTATCTTCACACCAGGATGCGAGCAGGAAAGAACCTGTGCTACTATGAACGTGCCCTGGAGAAAACAGGGAAACGTGAATTGATTAACCCCTGCTTGTGTAGTCAACTCTGTTGCTGCGGCAAACCTGAGAAGGTGAGATGGACCAGAAGCTAGACAATTTGGTTCAGGGTGTCTAGATGAAGAAGAAGAAGAAGAAGAAGAAGAAAAGTAAAAGCAAATGCAGCGTTTTTGGGTTGTTCTGACTCTTGTGATGGAATGAAAAAGGGTAGCATTGGTCGTATTAACTTACAGTGGCAGTAAATGAAGCAAGCTGGAACAATTTTACACCAAGATTTAAAGGTGGTTTCAAGTAAAGCGTGTGTTTCTTCAGATTGATGCCATAGAGTACTACAGCACTAAAGAGAAAGACCTGCTGGAAGAGGTGAGGAAAGAGGCGGAACTGGTGCCACAGCGCCCCCTGGGGATGGCCTTCGTCACCTTGCAGACCGAGGCTATGGCCAAGTAGTGAGTACCAATTTAAAGGTGTCTTTTTCTGTCGGTGCTTGCGTGTGTATTTTACTGTACAGGACAAGTAAAGAGCAGGAACATCTGTATTACCTGACACGTGATAATAATAATACAATCTATGCCTCTGGCCAAGGCTGTCGCCGTTGTGTTTGCAGGTTGTCTGTCCGGTTTGTTGGGAACACAATGTCTTTTGCCTTGAGCAAAGTCTTTCAACGGTCAGGACCACTGTGACCTCATAAAACACTTTTTTTTGCTAAAACTCAAGAATTCATATGCAAATTATGACAATTTCTACCGGGTTAAATGATAAAGTGGTGACATTTTGGACAGACGTGGATGTAAACGGCAACTATACTGTCTGTAGGAGGCATACAACCGCAAGGAGTTAATTCTAGTTGTGAAATAGTTTTAGTTGATCCAACTCCATAGGGATTTATTCTGCCATTTATTGCTACAATTTCCACTTTTCAAATTGTGTTTGTCACATGACTGTCATAACAAGAGATGATTGGCTGCATCATGTGCCAATGTTTTTCTGCAATGAGTAGTTGTCCGACGGTGTAGAAGCAGCAGTATTATGTCGGCTGACTCTGCTTGTTTCTGACTGATCAAGACGGCGATCTCTCGGTTTTATTGTCACCACATGACTTTTTTTACTGGACGCAGGCCTTTTGGGTCGCTGAAAGCTGGTTAATGTGTGTCACTAACAGCTGTCATTTACTCACCTCAGCATTTTGAAAGACTTCAATGCACTCGAGTGTGGTCGCACAAGCTGCTGTGGCGGGAGAGTGCCCCAACCTTCATCGGAGAGTGGAACTCTGGAAGTGAACAAGTGGAGCGTCAGCTTTGCACCCCATCCAAAAAACGTGTATTGGTAAGCCCTGAAACGCCAACTCTTCACACAGTATGTGCTCCTTGCAGATCATATGAATTGGTATTTATAGCACTGGTGCCCATAGGGCTAGGCAATAATTCAATATTATCATTAACCGACTTTTAGTGGAATCATGTGGTGCTATTGTTTTATTGAATTCTGATGGCCAAATGCATGATTCCAATTTAATAATAAGTAGAAAAATGTTTTTGAAGTTTTCTGTCAGATGTAATTCATAAAAGTGGAAAACGATTAATTGCCAATTAGATTTAATACTTGGGACATCCCCAAAATACCCATATATATGTAAACATTTAGATTTAGTTCCCAGAGGAAGAGAAACAGAAGTCAGCTTGGGAGGAATTAGTTTGTACTCCACACTGGTATGTTTTCTCTACGTTGCGCTGCCTCTGTGTGTGTAACAGTTGTTGTTTCTGTTTTTCCTATTTCCCCTTCCTACAGGGAGAATCTGTCAGTGAGAGGTATTCGCTGGTTCATGCGCTACTTGATGATCAACGTTTTCCTTTTCTTCCTGCTCACCTTCCTCACGACTCCCACCATCATTATCAGCACCCTGGACAAGTTCAACGTGACTCTGCCTATCCACTATCTCAACGTGAGACTTTCACATGCAGACACCTACTTGTCACAATTTATGCTTCCAGAACAGTAAAATCTACAGGTTTTTGTTTTCCACCCTAGAGCCCTATCGTCAGTCAGTTCTTCCCCACTCTCCTGCTGTGGGCCTTCTCTGCCTTGCTGCCTACCATAGTTTACTATTCTACAATTGGAGAGCGACACTGGAGCAGGTGTTACACTTACACACATATTGGTAGTGCAGTGATTGATTTCTGTTAGTGGAGGAAATGTTGTGATCTCGTGCCATCTGTGTCTCAGGTCCAGTGAGCAGCTGAGCATAATGCGTAAACTGTACTTCTTCTTGCTCTTCATGGTGCTGATCCTCCCCTCGCTGGGACTCACGAGGTAATTTGTTGCCCAGCTTCTAGGTTTATTGTTTCTTTTTCAGTAATACTTTAGTTGCTGTTTACTGTAGCAATCAGTATATCTTCAGATATAATGATTCATAAATGGGGAAGACGTGATTTGCAATTGACACGTTGTAGGTACATTCACTTTTTTATTTGGTATTTTACTGTTTATTAAAAAAAACTAAAAATGTCCCTCCCGGGATAATGGATACATTTTGGTCAAATGTAATTCAGGAAGAAGCTTGCCTTACTTTTTCTATTGTTCCTTCTGTTTTTAGTCTTGCGGTGTTTTTCCGCTGGCTGTTTGATAAAGAGTTTCTCTCCGATGGGAAACTGAGGTTCGAGTAAGTAATCCCTGTTTTTTGTCTGTCTTGCTTTTTAAAAGAAGAAAAGAAAGAAAAGTAAACTAACTAATTCATTTGAATTATGGATTTTACGACTATTGTTCTCACATTGATGGTAACTTCATTAAAAAGAGACTCGTATCGTACAGGTTCAATTTTATGATGCGAGTTGCTATTTATTTACTCATTATCTATTTAGTTGCAATGTGTGACCAGCTATTGTTGCACTCACTCAAGACTGCATTGTTTTATGATCTAGTTTCATATTTTATAATTTCTTCTTCAGATTGCTTATTTCAGTTTTCCTAAATTTTGTTAAAACTGATAAGAGTGGACTGAGTTTACTTTCTTCAAATTCCTTCTTTTCATGAATCATTTAATCCCTTTCTCATTGCTTCATAGTCATCCTTTCTTTCCTCTTTTTGTTTTCCCTTCCACCAGGTGCGTGTTCTTACCTGACCAAGGCGCGTTTTTTGTCAACTATGTGATCACAGCGGCGCTGGTGGGCTCTGGGATGGAGTTGCTGCGATTGCCAGGGCTGCTGCTTTACACCATTCGTATGGCGTTGGCGCGCTCTGCTGCTGAAAGGAAATATGTAAAACAGGTTTGTAAAGGCGTTGTCCATCAAAGGAACACTACACCTAGAAGTCAGTGATGTGTTTTACTGTATATCAATGTCTGGAAAACAGAACACCAGGGCCCACTTGTGTATTGAGTCCTGCCCAGTTATACATTATTATTTTTGCAATAAATAGACAGAATTTTGTTTGTTTGCCTTATTTTCAGCCTTACCTCAACATTTGCATGTCAACTCATTTTCTTTGACTTCTGTTTACAGAATCAGGCCTATGCGTATGAATTTGGAGCCATGTATGGCTGGTCCCTATGCGTGTTCACTGTCATCATGGCTTACAGCATCATATGTCCCATCATCGTGCCTTTTGGTGAGTAGTTATGAGGCTGTACACAAGCACGCACTCGCACACAATCAATCCAACCCTTTGCAATATGCAACCTCTCTATTGTTTCTTAGATGGATTTTTTTCTTTTTCTTAGATTCTTAGTATTACATTTACTGTATTATATTTTAGATGTCTTTTTATATTTACTATTTTTTTCTTTAATAGAGCTTCCCAGCAAAAGCATTTCACACGATTGTACTGGTATAACTGGTGTGACAAAAAACATCTTGAATCATGAATCACAGTCCATCAAATACACGGCGTATCATCAGCAGATCTATCTGACATCTCAACTGCGTTTGCCAGAGACCCCAGTGTCCATTACACACTTCTATACATGCAGCATATTTCCTGTCCCTTCTACCGTGGGGTTTTAAAATGGCTGTGTGTCTGACTCTTATCAGGTCTCCTGTACATGATACTGAAGCACCTGGTGGACAAACACAACATGTACTTCTCTTACCTGCCCGCTCGCATAGACCGCCAGGTCCACCTGGGAGCTGTCAATCAAGCTCTGGCTGCACCCATCATCTGCCTAATATGGATTTACTTCTTTTCTGTCCTCAGAACAGGTAGGAAACAAGTGTGTGCTCAACCTGGAGAAAGTTAACATCAGTAAAGTGACCTGAGATTCACTAAGAGGACACTTAAAATGCAAGATTTCTGGCCTGACGACAGAATGTGTTACTATATAAACTACATGTAGGTGTTCGCATGCAGCTACATAGAAAGTCAAACCCTATGCCACTGTTTAAACGATTTGTGTTTGTGCGCGTGTGGTGTTTCAGGTTTCTGGACTGCCACATCTCTATTCACACTGGTGATCCTGTGCATCACTGTCTTGATCTGCCTCAGCTTCACCTGCTTTGGCCATTTCAAGCACCTCAGTCCACACAACTATGCGGTGAGCGTTCGGTTTCGTGTGCATATGCTGTCACTTCTTAGTCGTGCCTCCCACTGAGCGTTCATATTGTTTGTGTTCTTTTGCAGGTGAAAGAGGAGGACGAGGATACAGTAGAGGGAGTGGAAGAAAACACCACGGTACTGTACTTGTTCCATAACAAAGTCCACAGTATGAATAGAAAGATCAGATGTATTCAGGGCTCACCTGAGCTTTGCCGTAAATTCTATAACGCTATTTGTCCCCTCTCTGGTTTGTTATTCATTAACAACGTAAAATACCAGAGCTATTGAGGTCAATGTTTCATCTTTGGTTTCTGAACAACATGCTAAAGACCTGATTGTTCACAATGAGCTGTTCTTGCAAGTTCAAATCACCCAGTCTGTCTTGTACATTTTGAGGATTTTTTTTTCTTTCCCTTCAACATTGTTTTGTATCAAAACCATACTTTGGGCATTGCATGCAGTATTGCATCATATACAGGAGTTATATCAGGGAAGATAAAAGAATACACAACTGAACGTTGAAAAAAGCCCCTTAAGAGCCCTTTGTTTGTTTTCAGTACTCATCTCTTTTGTGTTGTGTAATTACAGGTCTACCTTCCCAGAGTGCTTAATCCCAAATCACCTGCCAGCACACAACAGGAGTCTAAACCTCAGCAGTTTTACGGCTCTACAGAGGGCAGCCCGGTCCACGGCTCCAGCCCGGTCCACGGCTCCAGCCCGGTCCACAGCTCCAGCCCACTGCCGGGCTATATGTCAGATGGCTGAATCAGCGTTTTTCAACTCCGACTCAAAGCTTTGGAGTCAGGATGCCCACGACTCCTGACCATAAATCTGCTTTATTCATAAAGAGCCTCATGCAAGAACCACTCCTACGAACAGGTTTGTCCGTTAAGTGGCTTGTACGAGTGATTTAGGAAAACTAGACGTGTTTACCAATTTCCTTGTATTTAGAATTTTCTCTTGGGTACAAACACAAGACCTGTCGTTGGAGTCGTGCAATTAGTCTTCTTAAAAACCCTATATATATTACACTTCATAATTATATTGACATTATCCTGTTAGACTCTGCAATTGGAATTATAGGCTAATATGATTCTATATGTATTAATTTAGCCTAACGATATCACCAATAGTTTAAATTGTCTAACACTACAATATCAACATGAACATTTCAAACAGCAAAATTTATTTATTTATTTGACCCCTCTCGTCATTGATAGTGTTGCTGTGGCGAGACATTTTTCATGTCGGACCCTCAGGTGACACGCCATTGAAAGCACTCATTATTTTCCCACATTGCGCGACTATAGCAGGTCCCTTAATTCTGCTGTTAAAAAAATGATAGACTTTCCTTTACGGATCCCCGAGAGCAGGACTTCAATACAGGAAGTGAGGCAGGACACGTAGCCTTATATGGCATTGTTGGAGCATAATTATGCAAATGTAGAATTTTCATGAATGGGGGACAGTGTGTTGAATTTGAATTGCTTCTTACAGGAAAGACGGTAAATAGGAATTTATTTGATATTCGGGTCATTATTTGCACTTGATCGGCATAGCGCACACATCCATGACAAACCCTCAGTCTTCTATTTGAAAAGTACTTTCTTTGAGGATTTTCTCGCCAATTGACCAAGGACTGTTTTGCCAAAACTTGCCATTTCAAACAAGCCACGATGTTGGATTCCAACACCGGAGTCCATTATTTGCACGTGCTGAAGCTTATTATGCAAGAATTACCAGAACAATCAAGCCAGCAACACTGACGCCAAAGAGGTGGACATGCAGAGCTTTCTGTTTGCTGCTTGTTATTTTGTTTATATTTCTTCACAGTGCCTTTTTTGTGATGCTTTTTGGGGACAACACCTGCCATGGGAATAATTAATATTGCCTCATGTTCATAATGCACTTTCTGTATCAAGAGAGCGCTGTTTTGTGTCTACTTAATAGATTTGTAATTAGACAAGAGAGCATTTGTATCAGTATTGCTGTGGTTTTGCAACCAAACATTTTTGTTCAGTCTACATGTGACAATGGGGACAGCTATTAGATATGATTGTTCAAGATAAGACAATCTTGCTGTACCATTTAAAGAAGGAATGTTTCACACAGGTCAAGGTTTGTTTGTATTTAATGTACTCTGAAGTTATGTTTTTGCAGCTTTTTTAAATGTGCATTCTAATAAGGAACTACATTTTAAAAGCAAACGTGTAACTGCACAGTGATTGATGATGTCTTCAGATTGAATATGTTAAGGTAAACATTTAGCTTTGTACAGGGTGAATAAAATGTCCACATTAAACATTCCTTCATGCAGTTTTGGAATACAAACGGGAACAACTTTACAGTCTTGCCATTTGGGGGCACTGTTGAGCTGCAGTGGGGTCGTAAATCCACAGAAGTGGAAAAAGGACAAATGCGCAGTGTTTCATTGAGGATTCTTAACTTATTCCGACATTGGTATGAGGCGACAATTCCAGTAGCTCCACCTCCTCACCTGATCTTTCGCTATTGTCTCCCTTTTCTTTTGCTTCCACTTTTCTCTGCCCTTTTTCCCCTTTCTCACCACGGTACCTGCCTCAGCTAATAACAACCTCTATTGTCATTTGAGGACTTTCAGCATTCTGTGGTGATTAGTGTAGTTGTTAAATATGGGTAATGAAGTGATAAGCTAACAACATATATAGGTTATTAGCTGTGGTTTAGAGACGGGTTTGTACCCTGATGGAGCCTCACAATAGTTCTTGAAATTGCCCAATAAAAATCAGGAACAGCAGCTACTGAAACGCTCCTTTATAGCTTAACAGCAAGTATCTGACACACTTTTTTTTTCTGGGTTTCATTATTCTACATACTTAAAAGTCACAATGTGTCATCCCACTTAAGCTGCTGCTAATAACAGCATGTTTAGTCACCGGGCACACACAAGGTTTAAAGATTCTTTATAAAGAGACTTTAAAGAACACTTTTCTTTTATATAGTGATATCAATTTTGTAAGATCTGAGTGAACAAAGGTTATTGATTGCGCTAATGTCGGACAAAGATTAAGTATTTCAAAACAATCTCTCACTTGTTGGTGGTGTGCGCGTGTGTGTGATTAAGCAATAAATAAAAAATAGTGTTCTCCGTGCTGATGATCTCCAGTATGCCAAAAGTAATAATAAAACCCACAATATAGCTTTTTTTTTTAATGAAAATCTAATCACAAAAACGTGCGCTGCACGACCCCCATACAAAGAGACTTGGAGACGGATTTGAACAGACATACCTCAACAAAGTCACATGAGAAAGCTGTGCAGGGTCAGGATGCGGGGGCACTAATAACTTGCAGATATCCTCATGTGGCTCCAAGGATGAGCTGGGAACGAGATGATCGTTTGGTATTAGATACCTGATATATTGTCTATGGGTTGTGTGTATGAAGTGTGTGTTTAATGCACTTGCTGTTACAGAAGACCGTCTCCTGCGAGCTCAGCGGAGCGGGAGAAATGTGGACATTATGGCTGCAGGAGCCTGGGAAGCAGCTCTGTACAGCTTTCCAAAAACCCAAACTGTGACCCAAAGTTAAACACACCCCAAATTCACTGGCTCAGTTTCGGCCCACATGGTTTCGGGCTTTTAGTAATGGGTGTGTGAAAGTTTGCTCCAATGACATGCAAACTGGGAGCGGTTTGTGGCATCTGATGTTGAAACAGCTCAGCCAGATGTTCTCACAGACATTATGCTCTACAACTGAACACCTAAGCAGTTCCTCTCACTCAGACACTTAAAGGGATACTCAAATTGGATAAAGGCATGGTCATAAAGAAGTCGGCCTGACCTTCAGTCCCTCACAAGGGAGAAGATCTAAAAATGCTAAAAACATTTTTTAGTCTCTTTTTACAGAACGCAATATTTAGAAATTACAAACCTTTAAAATAAGTGTTAGAAAGAAATATTTTCTTTCTTGCTGAGTGTTAGATGAGACGATCGTTGCCACTCTAAATATACAGTAGTAAGGAGAGATGTTCGTGCAGATTAAACAAACAAGGTGTTCATTTGTTAGCTTTAGATACCTTCTTTGGATACCACGTGCTGCCAGTGTTTGCAAAGCTAACTGTCAGCAGCTTCTCATTCAGTGCAGACACGAGAACAGTATCAATCGTCTCAGCAAATAAGCGGTTTCCTTATGTGGTCAAACTATTCCTTTACAGAGCTGTGACCAAGATATGTAAGCACTAGCAGAATATTAATGAGACACTGTTTCTAAATGACAAACATATCTTTGGCATTTCTGTACTGGAATTTCTTATTGGGCGACATGTACACCGATGCGGATATATCTGCAACAAGCTAATATTAGCCGCCATGTTAGCATGGACAATTTATTTGTAATCTGTTTTGTAATCTGTTTTCCATTTGTCAACGGAAAGTGACGATACTAGATTTCGAAAGTACAGTGTGAGGAAAGTATTACCTGAAAACAATACGCTAAGAAATTTGAGGAAAACAGATTAAAAAAACCTTTAATAATTATCCATTTCAAACAGTTTGTCGGCACCACAGGTCAAATGAAACCGCAGTAATTTAGCCTGTACGGTATTACTAGTTTACACAACACGCCTTTCTCTGGATCAAAATATTTAACCAGTCTTAATCCAAAACCTCTGTTTGCATGTAGGTGTGCAACCCACTGAACTCAGTGCCCTCAATGCATTCTTGGTATTGTTGTCGTCTGTTCTTTTGTATACCACAGACACTATTATTTAGTCACTTCACTCCCTCTCTCTCTCAGTATTCACATAATTCTGCACTCCCAGGCCACTGAACTTGAGAAACAGCCCCTGTGTGTGTGTGTGTGTGTGTGTGTGTGTGTGTGTGTGTGTGTGTGTATCAAATAGGAATAAACCCCATTTAGAGTTTTGAGGTCAGGTTTCCTTCATGTCACCACCAAGATCGATGGATGTGACCTCTGACTGCTCCAATTTGTATATAAACATAGTGCTGGCCAATCACAGCATCGCGTGGGGTGGTGCCAGCCAATGAGAGCGTCTGGCAGCATCGTGCTCTGTGGCACTCCCATCTTTTGTCCGTCAGGATTAGTGCCGTGGCAACGCTGGTCGCCTGGGAGGTGAGTTTCCCAGAGCAGCGGGACCAGGACAGAAACAGGACGCTTCACTCCAAGTATTACTTCCCCCTCCCGTCCAATTGGGAAACAGAACCGGAGTTGTGTGTCTGTGTGGGTCACTCTGTGGCCTCCAACTCTAAAACTTCCACCTATACTGCCAACTCTAATGGGGTGACATCCTGAGCCACAAGCTCAAAGTGTGTTTGTCTGTGTGAGTGGATGGGTTGGTGAGGGGCCGTCCTTGTGTGTTCTCTTCTGTGTGGGGTACTCTGTAAAAAAAAAAAAAAAAAAAGTCACCCCACTCTCCCTCCCGTTTCTGTTGGTGCACTACATTAGCCAGAAGGGCAGAGCGCCAGACAGCTGAAATCACCGCTGCTGATGAAGCATGTGACTCCAGACCGAGGCCCTTTTGTTTGGACAATTACAGCCAACACACAGAGCCCTGGAAATGCAGTGTGGCATGGGAATAGGCAGGCATGGGAATGAATGGACATAAGGAAGTATTAAAACCTGCTTGTGTTCTTTAGAGAAACTGCCTGAAATTGGTTCTTAAAGTTACAACCCTCAAGATTTTTTTTCATGAAATCAAACCTCATTTTTGATACCATTTATAGTTGGTATTTATAGTATTATTTCTGCAAAAGCCATTCAATGTATTTATATTCTGTAATGACCTCTTTAGACAGTAGTTTTCATTGTTCCCATGCTGGATTCAAATTGCCTTCCCCCTCGCCCAAGGGATCCACAACAAACAATGCTTGCTTCACATGAAAGTGGCTGGTTGGATGCAGCAGCAGGAAATGTTGGATTTGCAGCCCTGATACAGGGTTAGGTGAGTGAGCAGTGAGCAATGAGGCTGATATCAGTGAGATAAAATTACAAACAGTAACGCATGCATGCCTCATTTCCTGTGAAATGTGTGTGTGAAGGTTTCATGGAAATCTTTAGGGTTATAACTTTAAGTGGTGAGGATATGAGGGTTAGAATGAATTCAATCAGCATGAACGAGAACACGGCCCTGCCTATTATCGTGTTGTTTTTTTCGGTTTTGTCACATCTAAATGAAGTTACAAACTCAGAAACCCAGAAACAAATCAATACAGTGGAAGCCAAGATCTTCAAGCAAGGTGAGGGACCAAAATAGGATCACCAACCACAAGATTAGCCCAAACCTGGCAGACTGTCCGAAATCATTTGTTGGACAGAAACAAATCCTGTTTTTCTAAGTGTACAGTAAGTTAAGCCATGCTTCACACTGCGTATACAGGTTGAGACTGCTGAGTCTGAGCCAGGATAAACCAAACAACCGATGTGTCTGTTAAACAGGATTTGCTTCACATGCTGCTCAGAGAAACCAATGACTCCAGCACTGCTCAGTCTCCCTGAGACCAGGAGGTTACATCTAATATCAAAGCTTCAACATGAGGTTATCAACTGGTGATCATTAGAGGATGAAAACTCGCAAATACTGCAAGACTAGCGGGTGATTGCGATGGTGGATGGTTGCCCTATACTCCACAATCACAAGAGCAAGTTATCTTGAACTATGGACAAATTTACCTCTACAAGATCTCATCTGTAATTGCAGAGGTACTATTCAGGTGAACATCAACATGCTCTCAGGCTGTTTCTATTCCCTAATATGCAGACAAACACACACAATGATTGTCTGTACATAGTAAATGCACCCTGAGATGGTCTTTCTATTACCATGTTAGAGGGATCTAAGCATGCATCCTGCCAGCTGTGCAAAGAGCTTAACTGATTCTGTCATCAAGTAATGTTGGTCTAAACTATCTGACACAAAACTGTCAGACCCTGTGTTTGGGCTTCCTTAATCAAAGAGAGAGAGAGAGAGAGAGAGAGAGAGAGAGAGAGAGGGGGCTGGCAGCCTCCACACAGAGCTCCAGAGAAAAAAAGAAATCACAAGATGGCTGTAAGAAAGAGAAAAGTCCCAAATAATAAGAAGAATTTGGAAAATCCATTTAAAGTGACATACTATACTGTATTGTATACCGAGTATCTATGTTTTGTGTGTTTAATGTCTTTTTCATGGCAGACATTTGCCTTATTACAGTATGATGTTAATGATGGCTGCTTCCCATTTAGGTGTTCCCTGCTTTCATGCATTAACTGGTATGGGTATCACTTCCCAATAAGAGATAAAAAAAAAAAAATGAGAAGTTACCAGGGAACAAATGAGAAATGAATGTGGAACTAACTGCTAGTTAACTATTAATTCATGATTAACTCCTAATCAACTTTTTTATAGTAGGTAATAATTAATTAATTGAGAAACGAGTGAGGAACAAATCAGAACTTGATAATTGATAAATGAATTTCCCTATAGGATTGAGGGATAATGATACGTTAGAACAGACTGGGAGATCCTATACCAATGAATCATTAAGTAGGTTATAGTTCTGGGACACTTAGAGATAAGCAATGTCAAGACATTGTGTTTGATTTTAGTTATCATAATAGTGACACACATTCTTCACTTGATTGACTGTTCCTTCCTAAAATAAATTTGCACCGGTAGTGTGTATGGGGTGAGAAAGAAAGCTGCCATTAAATGTCTCCCCAGGCAACAAATTAAACTAAATACAGCCATATTAATATTTACACTTCTTCTCGCACGCACTCACTAGAAAAGCTGGGGCATGACGTCAGACCGGACTCGCGAGTGGTCTGGTTTGTATAAACACTACAAGCGAACACACCGAAAATTAGATGTCAACTATTCTTTTGTGTGTCGGTCCTGTTTTAGATGTTTTACGTTTACACGTTTAAAAAAAATGGCGTTTACAAAAAAAAAAAAGTAAACAAACTAGTGCGTTTCCGGCGCAACAGGGTTTGTTGTCATTAGCAACCAAACGTTCGAACCTGAGAGGCTTTGGTTCGCCCAGATAGCTTTACGTTAACTAACATCTACGCTTTAAAGTCGTTTACTATAACAACAATGGACTCAAGTGTGTTGTCCTATTCTTTGGAACTCGTTGCCGGTAGCGGGAATACTTTAAGCGTTGAGCAAAGAGCCGCTCTGCAGACTTCTGTGGTGCTCCTGAAGAAAAACTACAAGTTCCACCGCGTCTTGTTCTGGGGCAAAATATTGGGAATAACAAAAGATTATTTTATCGCTCAGGGGAGAGGAGAAGATGAGATGCAGGATAAAAAGAATCTCTATAGGTAATATAGCCTCATCTGTGATTCTGTGTCTTTGTAGCTAAGTTTATGTCTGCACAGTGTGACATAACATCACCTGTGTGTGTGTGTGCGTGTGTGTGTGTGTGTGTGTGTGTGTGTGTGTGTGTCCCCTTTGGTCTGCAGCTTCAACTGCATGGACTGGTTCCTGCTCCCTCTGGCCACAGACTCTATGATCGAGGAAGTGACCAAAGCTGCGAAGAGTCGCTTCATCGGAGACCCCTCTGCTATGGAGAATGAAGTATGATTAATACTGTGTAGTGCAAGGGAAAATATTGACTCTCAAGCGTTATAGTATTCAGTGGTACTTCATCACAGCATGCTTAAGTGTTAAATTACCTAGTGGGTAGTTAATGAATATAAATCCATCAATCTACTAATACCCAAAGAACAATATTTTACCACAGCAATATGCTGTAGAATGAACAAAAATTGCAGAAGAGACAATGTCCTACCTTTGCCAAAAGATATATCACGGCTCACAATATCTAAGTTCAACTATCTCTGCAACAAACAAGTGTTTTACTCATGAAGAATTAGTGCAAAGCTGTGTTTCATTCAGTAATTGGCAGATGATGTCCGTACAGCCGTGTAATTCCAGTTCAGAGAGTGACTGTTCTTGGTTTCAGACCACAGTCAATGAGGAAAGCAGGCTGGCAGTGACCATTCATCAGATCGATGAGGAAGCGTCTGTGGTACCACGCGGTGCCTTGGTCAAAAATCCACATGGCCTCGTCCAGATCAACCGCAGCTTTGGTGGTAAATATGTATCACTCTGTCACATGGCGGCTGGGTGACTGTGTCTCAGTGTGGAGTGTCAATATTTTCTGCAGCATGTGAATGACTTTGAGATGTTTCATAAGGTATACTGTATGTATTTATTTCAGTTGGACTGGATGCATACGATAAAACAGTTTCAGAAATATTTTATACACACCTCTTTAAATTGTGCCTATGTATATTTTAACATCATTCCGGGGTATAATTGCATCATCGTTGCTGTGATTTAGTTTGAAATACTTACCAATGTGCATTGTTTTTGTTTTCCTTAGGTCTGTCTCACTCAGAAGCAAGGAGGCTTGACAACTTCCTTCACTTCAGCAAAGCAAAGAATCCTAAGAAAAGCGTCCTGGAAGTGGGTGTTGTGAACCAAACAATCGACTTCCTGGATGTACTCATGGATGACATTCCTAAAGGTGAAACCACAGAGTTCAGACTATTCCGGAATGTAACATGTCACCAGTCATATCTTTGCTTACTGAATTGGTTGCAACTATTGAAGTACACGGACACATCTTAAACAAGCCCTTATTTATCTTATGATCGCTGAGATTTGAGAGGTTTTGTTTAGAAAACTACAGTCTATCAAACCAGTACAGAAAGATTATGATCCATTTATACATGTCTATTTTGAGCAGTGGTATTAAGGCCTTCACAGTGCTCTTTGGAAATCATTCGTGTTCCAACTGCCATGCTACATACCAACTAAATGATGTGTGACATTAGCACTAATCATTATGGTGATTCAACTGACTGAGAGTCAAGTGAAAACTGAGTCGTTTAAACAGTCAAATGAGTCAGTTAAGCAGGGTTAAACTAAGCAAAGTCATCAAACGTCTGATGGCATCAACCTGCCATGATGGAATAGGTTTCTGGGAATATGTTGGAAGAAATTTAGCATGCAGCGGCCTCTCTGATAACCAGACGACTAATGCTGGATGAGGAATGTCTGGGCTCTAGGATCTGGTTTCATGGCCAACTTACTGAGAGGCTGTTCTCAATTTCTTCATAGGAAAATTACAGATAATTATGATATCATCATAAAAACCAGACCAGAAACCAGTACATGGGAAGAGGACCACCTGACACCAAACTGAAGGGAAATGATTGATAGTGCTGCTCACATCTGTAGGAAATCAAACTACAACAATTCAAGTAATATTACCATTTTAGGCAATTTACAAATGACCAATTAGTATGCAGAGCACACAAGTGTTGCACATTTTCGACGTTAAAAATGTAAGTGCAGTATGACAATGGATTTGAGACCAGCTTTCCTGCTTGTATGGTATTTTTCCTTGTAGTTAAAAGCATAAAATGATGAGTCTTTCAGGTTTGTGTAGTCGCATCCTGGTGGGAAGCTCAGCTGTTTAACAGTACTACATGTGTTGGAAAAATCAAACCCAGGAGGCAAACGATAAGCAAACATGGATACTGTGAAGATAATCTGAATTTAGTCGTGTTTAGTCGTGTCCAGCAAGTTTTGAGGTTAGTTGCTTAGCTGAATGTACTCCAGGCTGACGGAAGTGTATGGGTGTGAGGGAAAACGCAAAAAACGTTCAACGCCCATGACCAAACATGCAACAGCTGTTTGATTCATTAAGAGGGCTTTCACATGTGTATATGTTTGCGTGTCATCACTGCAGCAGACATTACACAGCTGTATGAATGCCACACTAACTGCAGCCGTCTTAACCGGATCGCATGCGTTTGCTGAGGAGAATGAGTTACCATATTTCAAACGGGCCTCTGGAGAACATGTGGTATGATGTATCTCCACTAAAAGACAGGTGCTTTCCTCTGAGACCCTACGTTGTCGTCCCCCCCCTTCTCTACAACAATCTTGCAAACGGTTTACAGCTCCTGATTTACAGCTCTGGGTTTCTCCTGCGGCAGTGTAGTTATGACCTGAAACATGTGTTTACTTTTAGTTGAATCATACTTTGAAAAAGGCAACAAAAAAAAAAAAGTGTTCAAAGAACCATCTAATTATCGAAATCATCTCTCTTTTATGCAACAGCATCAGAGGGCTTTTTTGTCTACATTATTACATAGCAGCAGATCAAGCTTTTGTTCTCAATTCCCTGGGACCGACCTGGTCACACCCACACATATTAAGGAACAGGTTAGACTGTAAATATCAAAACGCACAAAAGGTTGATTTATTGGATTATTATCCCTTGGCTGCCTCCAGAATTTAATCATCTTGGACTGACTTCCAAAGATCTCAACATGATGTGGCAGCCTCCTCCATTTAGCAGCAATTGTTTACAGCAAGCCTGCTTTGTGTGTGTGTTTGTGTAGGATCATGGAGTCTTCAGCTTGAATGCGCCAGCAACGTGTGTGTGCTTCGCAGCCTGTTGTGGCTTGGCCTAACCTTCTTCCATGTGCCAATGACGCCACAGCACGGATACATGTACATCGGTGATGGGAAAAAGAATTTGGACCTTCCCTTCATGCTGTGAAAAGACACATCTTACACACGTGTCTCTGTTGTTCATATCAACCCTCACAATGTATTTTGTGTTAACATATTCTAGGACTTTGTTCGTTTTGTCCTAAAACAAATAAACTAAAAAGAGCACAGTTATGCAATTTGTCTACAAGCTTTTTGTTGCATTCAGCTCTCATGTACAAAAGCTGTTCCTTTACAGTAACACACGTTACGAGGCAGAGTAAGCAGACACATTTTATTTGCACATCTGTGTGGCCTTGCGTATACACAGTCAATATACCACCTACTTTGAAACTGTTACACTGACCCAGTTGTTGCCCACATTAAGTTGTCGCAGTGTTCACTTCAAGGGCTTTTTGAAAACCAGCAGAGATGGAAAAAGATGGTTCTGGGTCGGGGCTGAGCATGCTTCATTAAGAGGGTGACGCATCTTGATAAACAAAAAGATAGAATAAATACAGATGGAAGAAGCTTTTAAGCCCTTTCCCACGGGGATATCACAAAAGTCAATCCACTTGAAACTGCGTCTTCGCATTCAAAAAGGCCCACCCACTCTCATCCAGTTGCTGTACCAATTTGTTGGGCCTTCTGTCCTTCAGTGTTTCATAGAAACTCGCTTGACACCGTAGCGCACATTGTCCTTGAGTATTGGGTCGCCAACATCCATGCGCTTCTTACACCACTTTAGCCCACTTCTATATATGGGTTTCACTGTGTCAATGGACCAGCGAGTGAGGTATCTGTACAACAGAAAATCATTGCTAGTTTCAGTTGCACTGAGACTGGTGCTGACAATCGATAGATCGTGGTGGGAAACACACATATGAGCAGAAACACGCGTGTACATTACCTGTTAAGTTGTGGCTTGGGCCTCTTTGGGACGTGGCCCTCTGGAAGTTTGGGTTTGTGGTCAGGGAGCAGACCTTCAACACAGGGAAACACAGAAGTCACATGCTTGTACTTCATTTAAATGAGTCCTCAAAAACAGATGTTAGTAAAGCAGGTCCAAAAAGGTACAACAGATTAAGAATTTGATGGCTACCATTGATGTTGACAGATTATGAATGAGAAGGTAACTTGAGTTTGGTGTGGACAAAGATTCAAATACACAAACGAGGGGGCAGGCAGTAACACTGACCTGCTCTGTGAGCCATCTGAACACAGATGGCAATCTTGCGATGCTCCTCTGGACAGAGACCAGTGATCCTCTTCGGCATCATCCCTCCATCTGACCTGATGAACTGACTAAGCAACAGGACATCCTGGAGGGGTGGAAACAAAAGACGAGAAAGCAAACCAGACACAATAAACATGCTGATGCACTTTTCAGGACGTCTGAGATTACTTTGCTTGTCACATTCCTGTAGATGCACTTACCGTGTAGTTGTATTTGTGCTGCAGGTTCCATCTGTAGATGGGACACTTGGCTGTGGGGTTTGGAGGCTGTGGTCCTGCTGGAGCGTTCGCTACTTGTCCCTCAATCTGACAGTTGGGGATATAATACGTTACGGCAGGTTCCTTGTCAGGTTGACAGAATATTTGTGCAGTAAGAGAAAGTGATTTCCCCCTCTCCCACTATCCGATCTAAGTGTAGGTTGCAGATGCGTCCCAGTGCAGGTTAAAGGAGTTGCCGTTGTTGCATCTCCTCATATCTGACAGAGACGCTCCTTTTGGAAAACAAGCTGATACTTATGATTCTGTGCTCTGATTTGCAATGATGTAATGGGCCTGCATCCAAATAGAGCAGCCGCTCTGAGCGCTTCAAGCTGCAAATACCGCCGCTTTGTATCATAGCTTAAGGGTGCCTCGGTATCAGACACAGAGGGGCGTGACTGTGGCGGTATTTGACGTCCTCGGAAAGAGAGCAGGCTGCACACCCTGCACGCTGACATTGGCTCAGGGCTGCACACCCATGTCGGGCCCAAAGGCTCTTTTCTGATGCCCAGAAATGTCCCAAACACAGCAAAATAAGAAGACATAAAGGCAGAGGGCAGGCTCTGTGTAGATACAGACACCACAACACAGTTATAGTGGGACGTACGGGATGACTGAGAGGGATTACTTTTTTTATCAGTCTATACATTGTTTTTAGCAGAAACTGCTGCATACTACACCTTTAAACATCCATACTAGTTATCTATTTGGCTTTTAATTTGTTTCTTTAGTAAATAGCCTGATATAACAATGCAAACCATTATTATATAACACATTATATATGTGTACATATATCAGAATTCACTTAAATGCCACAATAAATACTGTGATTTTTTTTATTGTGCTTCCAACTTCAAAACACTGTGTGGGTATCACAAATAAAACTAAGTGCTTATATAATGTATATCTAACAACCCAATAAATCATTACTACTGGGTTTACCTACCGTTGTTGTTTTACCCTCCTGCTTCTCCACCACTGTAAAACAGACATTTCATGACGTTAGAAATATAAATACCAAAATGTCTTTACTACTTTCCTGTTATGGTGCCTACTTAGAATGTGGTTAGATGAGGCTACAGTTATAAACGAATGAATGAATGTTGTTGTTTTTCCTTAGAGGAGCATGCTGTATGCAGGTCTAAGATGAAGTAACTTCTGAGCTGCCTCTAATCACTGTCAGTGTCTATAAGTTAGCATGCTAGCTACCATTAGCTCATCTTACATTGGTGCGCTATAATCTTAACGGTTGCAGATAAATCTTACCTTGGCGGACCCCTCGACTCTGAATGGTTAACGCCGGTAGTTTGGAAACATTTATCCTCTGTTGGACCTTCACGTTCACTAATTTCATGCCCGAAAATGAGGTCCACGCAGACCTCAGCATACTGCGGGCTGCCATGTTTACGTCCCGACCTTCGCCTTCGTCTCTTCCGGTCTGGTAATCTCGCGAGAATGAAAACAGCGACACTCGCGGCGAAGACCTGTTATTACATCGATGGTGCTAAAGACCAACAAAAGTCACATTCCAACAGAAAGTAGGTTATATAAGTAAACTAATCAACTTAAATTCCCCCCATGTACGTGTATGACATGTGATTGTGTTTAATGAACTGGCAAATGGAAATTAAATTTCAAATACAGATGAATATAATTATAACTATGCATTATGATCCTTAATCAAAAGATTTGTCTCAAAGGACAACCCATTGTAAGCCAATATCTAGAATACATCTAATGAATCTGCCACAAAGCACAAAACAAACTGCAGCACGATATCAAACAAAATTAAACACAAGGGGGGAAATCAATGAAGACACTGCATGTTGAAAAGTATAGCCTATCCAGAACAAGGGAAAACTCCCAGGAAAACGTGAGAGTGACATCCATATCACAGGGCCTGGAGACTGTAAAGCTAGAATGTATTCGTCTGCAAGGAAGATTTAAACATAACGTGCCAGCGCGGGGGAAAATAAATCCATTCTGCGATAAACTGCAGCATGTGGATCCGAGAGATACTCTCATCCTTGCGCTGCTTTTGTTTAGATGCTCAGAGTTCATAACAAAGATAGCGCCACGGCTCATGGTTCCTTTCATACCACGCTCATCTGATGGAAGTATGAGAGGCACCAAGAGGAGCAGCTTAGGAACATGCCAAACCTTTGTTGCAGAAACTGGAGGATACAGGTAGATTATTCTTGCCACGATACGGAGACTCAAGGAAGATAAAGAGTTTGATGTTTGATAGTGTTATCATGAGAACCCTATGCCATTGTACAGTCGTGTTTTTGTTAGCCATTTTTCTTATGGCTTAATCTGTTTGCACAAAGAAAGCACAAAGATGATAGATGATACTAAGCTGCAACAATAGATCTGCTTACAGAAGTCCATTCTTCCATACAGTTGAATACATTTATGGAATTTGTTCCTGTGCAAATTAGAGCTGTATGATACATTGAAGCACAGCCACTGTGATACTGTCTCCCTTTGCAGGATCTCCTACAAATTTATGGTGCAGATTATTCCTTCCCCTGTTTGGTTTGGTACCATACAATTATTATCTTTATGCAAACAGTTTTCCTTTCTGTCCTCAGGGTAGGTCTCAATTTTCCAAACAAAATATAAATAAATAAATATGAAACATTCAGTTGGCTATGAGCGTCAATGTACAAGCAGCATTCTCTCTACTAATATATTCTTACTGATTTAAGCGTCATTGCAAGAGCAATGTTTCTACGAAACGTTGTTTGTTGTGAAAGTACGCGACAAATGCGATTCACATAGTAATGCATCAACAAACAGAAGAAGAACACTCCAAGCATCGACGTCAACAATGCACAATTTTAAGTATTCAAATATCGGCTTCCCAAGTGTTTTATGAGGAAGGATGTGTGTTTGTCAGACCCAAAAGGAACACGCAGTGCATTTTGGAGAAACACTTAATGTAAAAAGACATGTTTGTTTGTTGTAGGGTACCTTTAGGCTTTCGGAATCTAGCATATGGAAATGCCTTTTTAATGAGAGATGCTGCACGTTGTAGACAGTAGAACTCATAGTTGTTTATTTTCTGATATTGCACAAAAGGATTGGGATAACACGATGTGCACATACAGAGTGAAGATTCCAGTAAAAACAGCGATAATAGAAAAAGTGGAGATCATCTTTGTCGTGACACACGCCAGACACAAAGTAGTTCTTGTAACAATTTTCCAAGCATGTTCCCAATCATGGTTGTTTGGTTTCAAGGCCCAAAAATAATTGGAATCATTTCTTAAATGCCATCTAAACTGTGGAGCCTGAAAGAGCTGCACACAAAGATGCAAATGGAACTTCTGTGCCCGTCTCCTCTACGGAGCAGAGAGTAGATAGATAGAGATTACTGTCAACCCGGTGCCACAAAGGGAGCATTGTCTCAGTGATCAGGTCCCTTCGTCAAGGACACTTAAGCAGTCACATTCCTTGAGAGAAGCCCAAAAAATGGCATTTAAAGTGTCTGGCCACCTCCTCACAGGCTTTGATATTCAAATGAAACATGGCCCTGTACAAACAGGCGCCTCAGCTGAGGAAGAAGGGGGGGAGTAAATCAGATAGGAGTTCCCTCAGATGAAAAGAATTCGTCTGACATTTTCACAGCGAGCGCTGAGGGACGCTGAAGCAATGTTGGTTCGATGTCATGGTGGGAAGTTATTGCTGTGTGGAAAAGGTTAGAGTTTTCACCCCTGCTTCCTTGGACAAACTGCTAAAACGCAACATGGAACGAGCAGAGGAGCGGAGACTGGCGCGAAGATGAGCGGTCCACGGTCACATCCCACGAAAACAAATCCAAAACCACCCGGCGCATTCCCCTTTTATTGTCACACTGGTCAGTTTGTTTTGCCTTTAATATTTTGGTGAAGACTCACAGGCCCCCGGGTTATGGTTTCTGCTGAAGAGTCGAAACACAAAAAGACCTCCAGGAGGGTCATGTGGGGAAAAACCGTGGGATCTGAGAATTCGGTTGCTAAAATCAAAATCACTGAATTACACAATCTGACTGTTCTAATGCTTCTCTCTGCCGAGTGTTTCCTAAGGTGAAGATTTCTCTCAGTGAGAGCCAAAAGTTTTTCAACAGAAGGTCTCATTCCCATGCAGATGGAATGTGTGGATTTGCTGCCATCCAAATTGATGGGCACAGTTTGGTATGCAATTAAGGCATAGCTGTCACTAAGAGGCTTTCCTGGGTGATTAACTTGTAAGGGCCGTTGCATCCAAGGAAGTCAACTGAACACAATTAGCCTATTTTCAAGAGAATGAGTTTGGTTAAAGGCCCCCACCTTGTGTAAGATGAGGTGAGAGGAAAGAGGCTCGCCAAAGCAGACAACTGGAAACAAGAGACGCAGGTTTCATCGACCGGGCAGTGGGTCTCAAGGTCTAGAGTGACATCCAATGCGCGTTTATAGCTCTCATGTTGGGTAAAGCTTTCTTGCAAGTGACACGAATCTTCATCCCCCCCCCCCCCCTCCTGCCTCTTCTATTTCTCAGCCCCCTTTGCTCACTGCCCTTCCGGCACTCATTTGGGTGTACGTGCTAAATGGCACTGGCTTCTTCAACCAACCCACTGCTCTTTGAAGAGGCTCTTATCCCCGTTTTTTTTTCCTCCGCTTGCAGAGTGCCAGCTTCTATCCTCTCTCTGACACACATACTCACACACAAACACATGCTCCCCTGCATCTCATATGCACGCTTTATATATGGCAATCTGTACAATTTTCACGCAGGTTGCATTGCCTGCAATACAATACAAACAATAGCTCCTCGGCTGCTGAGTGGTCCTCTTCAAATGTTTGAAAACATTTAGTACTCTTTGCATTTTTCTTTTCCTTCGGTTGAGTTGTGTTTGTAACCCCCATTGGCTAGCAACAAGGAGGATCAATGCCTCATACTACAAACAAAACATGGAATCATTTTCCGTCCATCTGTTTTTGATGAAAGCGTCATGTTTAACCTGTAGGAACAGCAACAAAAAAAAATGTAACCTATGTTTCATGTAAGCTCTGAAGGAAGCTTTAATGTGCCACAACGGCCCTCTCATGCTGTGTGGATTTTTGCAGCACTGCTCAGATTAGTTTCCCACCGCGGTTGCCTCTGCTCTTAACTTCCTCCTTGTGCATGTTGCCATGACGCCCGCAGCGGTATTCTCACTTAGACCAGATTTCCAGTCAGCTGCAGTCCCTTTTACTAAGAGGCCGTCTACAAGTGGAACGTGACAAATGAGGTGACCATTCACTTTTATGGAGCTTCCAACTGTTCATCCTGTTTGACATGCTTACGATGTATGAATTTTACTATCTATTGTAAATTCAGACCTTCTGCAGCTGATTTGTTGGCCACTTAGGGGCAGCACAACAATAACACAATATTGACCTATGATAACCTTATTAAGTCAATATGGCCTTATTAACGAGGAGTGGCATATATCAACATTGAGCTGACACAGAGCAACATTAGCTTTCATCTGTAGTCAACAAATATTAACTCTCCTTTTAGCACTGTTTTGGTCTCCACCAACTCCTTCATATAAAGATATATCTGGTTCTTTAGCGATAGATTGCTCCAATATGTTCACCAGCTAGATGCTAACAATGATAGCTTTTTTTGCCGGAAAAAGCTGCCTGCTGTGACTGAATATATAGTATTGAATGAATCAAAGCATAAAAAGTTGGGGGTCGTAAAACCAAGACAATGAGCTGAGAGATTCTAAAAAGCTCCGTAGAGCTGAGGGGAACTGCAGAAACAGGTATCACTATGATCCTTTCATACACATAGTCGTTTGATCCATTGCCAAAACTCAGTTCAAGCAGCTTTAAGACAGTTCTTTTTTCTATAAGTTCTGTGGGAAAGGCCTACGCTCTGACATGACAGTTTGACCCAAACCAATGATATTTGTGGTTGCCTTTAAATCATTTCTTATTTGTGAGATGTGGTGCCATGGTGCTTTTGACTGAACAGTTAAATGAGTTTTTGCTGACATCTCCATCTCGCGTCTCCTACTTATTTCCCCACTGCGCATTTCATCACATGCAGGCTTATCTCAGTGTGGCCTTAATACCTGCCACTCTTCCCCTCTGTATATGGGTCAGAAATTCCCATTGAGAAATGTGTCGGTTTACTTTAATGTTGCCTTTCTTGTCTACATCTCAAAGTGTATCATACTTATTTCAGCTAAACGTGAGCTAGCTTGCACCCTTAACAATGGGGGTTGTAGCAGTTTATATTTAATTGAAATATCAGTCCCTCAAGGACATTTTTATGCTTCATTCACCGGTGGATATTAACGCTTGGGTTGTTATGAGTTGTAACTTTCAACATATGACGATGTTGTGTCTCCAGAAGAGAGGAAGTGAAAGCAGCCGATGTCTGGCTGCTCAATACCCTCCTTCACG